TTCACTGGCCCTTCTAGATAATTTAAAAGAAACATAACTGGAGGTAATGGGACTTTGTATCCCAGAATTCTTTATAAATGTACTATGATCTGCACAGTAGTTTCATATTTCTATCAGATGTGGGGAAAGTCCCACTTTCTAGCATTTCTAGCCATTTCTAGCACGTGGAGGAATTGTTTGTATTTAGTTTATTTTTACTGGTGTGATATACCATCTACTCACTATTTTATAGCAGTTTTCCCATTATTCATGAATTCAAAGAAGCCCTGTGTCCATATAACCATAACTTTCCCCACACATCTCTTGGTATATTTCCCCCAAAGTTCTGAGCCCATTTTATCCTTGACTTTTTCTGGCCCCATATTATAGTTCAATAGCAACTGGTAAATTGTTTATCTGCTTTAAATTAGTTTCTCAAATTCAATCATTTTTCTGATTTGATTAGATATTTTCTCTGTTCTTCGCAGTTTAGAACAGATTTCAGAAGGATTCAAAACAGAGAGGATTCACTTCCCACCAATCTGTCTCCTAATCTCTCATATGAACATATATCTGCTGCTTAATTAATCCGTGAAATCTAAAAAATATTGTAATTTCCCCACATTTTTTAACTTAAAAAAGATTCTCTTCTATTATGTCTGCATTTGGTTCCAGTGAGAGGAATTTAGGATTGAGTTGTCCTTTCTATCAACCCACCTATTCTTAACAAATTAGAAAATGCATCACATATATATATATGATGAGATCTATTTTTGTATGTTTCCCACAGTATTCTGTGTAATGGAACTCCAGTCAAATTTTTGTTCAGCCTTTAACTATTGCCTCATAGGGCTTCACAATCCAATCTACCAACCAAGTTATTTACATTTGAAAGATAAAAAAACTTTCTATTTGAAACTTGAAGCCTCCTTCTTGCTTAGCATTATAAAGATGCTTTAGATCAGGGCTCACCAACCTGGTGCCCATGGGCATACATGCACTCCATGAGGCTTTGACTGTGGTGTCCTCACCCCTCTTCCTGCTGAAATCAGGCTAGAAACAAGCATTCCATTGTTGCTGACACAATAGATTGCAGTGTGTGCTTGTTAGTGATGTAGTGTGGTGCCAATGCCAGTGTCTCCGGTTAGCAAAAATGCCCATGGAGCCAAAAAAGTTTGGTGACCCCTTGCTTTAGAGTCACTGATTGACTCATAAAAGGTATAAAAATGGTTAAGGTACTTCCATAGCTGACACAAACTTTGATGTGTGCCAGGTATTAAATGCAATACAATTTAGGCAATGGCTGCATCAGATCAGTTTAGGCTGTAGGATTGATACATGGGATCAATTACACTGCACTATTGTGGCAATGCCCTGATAGCTGCAGGATTCATACCACAGCTCAATAAACTGCTGGCCTAGAGTTAGGGTTGGAATTGTTCCTGTGTTATCCTACACCAGGCTGCCTCTCATTTCAGAGATTCACTTCTTACCTACTGCTCATACTGTGTTGGACTAGCAGCAACAGGAACACACTGGCACAGCCTTTGGCATCAAAGCCTGAAAAGTTGGGCAGCCGAAGGAAACTTTGCTGAAGGAGTAAAGTATAATTGCTTATGGAAAGTGGGAGGGGAAACATAGCTCTTTTACTATGTTGCTCTCCAAACAGCTAAGAGGTAGTTGTACCATCAAGGCAGAGTGCGTCGCCCAAGTGCCCATCAAAACCTGGAACTAGCTTTGGCTGCAGTAGTTCTTCTGCTGAAAGCATGTGAAAGAGTCTGTGCCCATGGAACCCTCTTGGTTCATCAGATAGTCTGCAAGAGACAAATTAGTAGATGGATGGGATCGTTAGCTTCCAATTCTTTCTTCGGCCTTACCACTTTTATCTTAATTTATCTTCCTTTCTAGTGGAAGTTACCACAAGTGAATTGAGATGATGCTCAGATAATAATGGCTAGAGAGAGGCTGTCAGCATCATGAAAACCAAGTGTTTGCTGTCGTGCCGGTATTGGAAGGAGGGGATGTTGCTAGATGGTTCTAGAAACTATTCATGCTATTCATGCCATGGAAGTCTGGCCCTGATGTTATGACAGCCCAACATTCCCTCTAATAATAAAGCTGGGGAGCCAATGGTGTGCCTTCTGCTTCACTTTGTTCTACCAAGGGCCTAGTAGAATAAAGTATTCTGGTGACATTGTGTGTCTCTAACTCCAACCTGCCTTCATTCAAGATCCTTTGAGCCAAGGATGACAAACCTGCCACTCACAAAGCCAATTGATTGCAAGCTCCCCTTTTCTTCCCCATTCCAGCTCTTCATCCCAGGGACATATAGCAATCATTCGTCCATGCAGGGATAGTGCCCACCCCGAAAACTGCACCATTAATTGCATATGGTTGGAGGGAGAAATGATACACCTCCAGAAATTGGTAGTGGTGAATCTCAGTCCCACACCCAGGAAAGGTCCTGTTACCCCAAGGTGTTTGGGTGTGGGTGAGGATGTGTTGTGTACCTTCATTTGTGGCTTTGTGTGTACTGGCATGCAGCCTTTGGAAGAAGGGCCAAACCTTGAATGCAGCCTCAGGTGGAAAAAGGCTAACCACTCCTGATATCAGCTGCTAGGGCGTCTGCCCCTCCCACAAGGCTTTAATTAAGATGGGAGGGGAAAGTACCCTTTCTGATCTAAATGAACTCACAACATCCCAATCTTAATTGAAACTGGGACGGTGGGAGGGGGGAAAGACCTAAAATCTTAATGATCCAGAAGAAGGGAAATGGGAGTTACAGGAAATGAGTCATGACACCTTGATGGCACTTGCATCTCAACCACAATTTATTTCTAAACTCTTCCATACAGTGTGGTCACAGAAAGTTAATCTACTTTCCCGTTCTGTACTGGTCAGGTTCAAGGACATTCAACCTGTTCCCTACTATACACAGGTTCTGCAAAAAAACCAAAAACTCTCCCCGATTATGTGGAAGTTGTTATATTTGGTTGTTTACCATCTGATGTTTTATTTACTGTTTATGACTACTTTTGTTATATTCATAATTACATATTTTTTCCATGTTGTAAGCTGCCTTGAGCATGGCTTTAACTATGGAGAGGTGGAATACAAATAAAATGATGCATGTATGAAATTGAGCACCTATTGCCACAAACAGATACTTGATTTTGCTCCAAAGCCATCTATAAATAGCTGAGCAAAAGTAAGGCTGAGACAAGGAATTATTTAGAAGGAATATAATGCAACAGTGCCCCATACTGATTTACATACGGCCCTTGATGACTTTGATAACATGGGAATTGCCTGTGCAGCTGGCTCTTTTGCAAAACATCCTGTTTGAGGTGCTATCATGTGACACAAAAACATGGTCCATTGTGATGAGATCTGTAAAGTTTGTGTGTTCAAGATGGTGCATGTGAATTCACCTCAAGAGGGATGGACTAAAGCATCCTGGCCCCTATACATTTTATGTGAGTACATCTAGTTCTAACCACTTTAAAAAAACACCAGTGAAAATATTCACACAATCCAATCCTGTGTATACTTATTCCAAAGTATTTGCTTCTGAGGTCAGTCGGCCTTATTCCCAAGTATACATTCCTGGGACTGCAGTTAAAATACGCAAGGAAGGCCGGCTAACATATGCAAACTGCCTGCTTTTTCTCACCACACAATTCCCCCGGTTTCCATGTTTACAAGTGTAACTTGGCCCTAATTTGCCAATTATCATATGCAATAATTTTAGTATTGTATTCTGCCCAAGAGCAGGTCAACAATCACAAAGAGCTGGCCCCTCTGCTTTGTGAAGTTGACCTCTGTCAGCTACAGACTTGTTGCAAAATCTGTAGATTGATGACTCATGAGTTCGCTTGAGGACTTTGACTTTTCAGTCTGAGGGTGACAATGCTAATCTTTTGTGCATTTTTTCACTACATTTCCTCATTGCCATGTAAGTTAAGACAACATTTGAAGCCACAACCCAGAGTCTTTGGATTTTTTAGCTAATTTAGTCCTCACAAATGCCAATGAATTCCAGGAAAATGATCCCTTCATCTGTAACAGGAGATGGGCTTTTAAATAAACATATTTCCAGATTATAAGACTTCCAAATAAATGTATTTTGGACACGTGCTGGACCTCACAAGCAATTTAACCCTGCATATTTTGATTTAAGATTATCCCGGTTATAGTCCATAAACCAGTTAAACCAGAGCACTTGGATGTAAGCCAGCTTTACACCCATTTACGTCAATGGAACTAATTTGATTTAAATCGGGGCATTCCAGCGTAATTGGTTTGTGAATCAGGTTGTTACTCATAGATGTCAGTAGGACAAAAGTGCTTAAATCCAAGTTTTTCAACTGAACTAGATTAGTTTGGCTGTTCAAACTTAAAATTGTGTATTTGCTTGTTTAAAACTAAATAAAAACCTCAGTTTTTTAAAAAAGAAGTTTCTAGCCATCTTTATTATGTAAGAAACTGAAGAATTGTTTTTTTAAAAATACAGCATGCTTCTACGGGTCAAACACCACAGCATTTAAAAAGGTCAAGGTCAGCCCAATTGCTGAGTGGGACTAATTCCTTCCAGGCTTATGAACACGCCTTGGCAACCAGTTAAATTCCTGACATTCTACATGCAAAACAGATACCTTGGGTTACATCTTCCTCTCTGGACATCTTCCTTTGCTTCTTGATTCAGTTAACAGCATGATGATGGAGCCACTAAGCCAGATGTGTGTACATCAACATTACATTGTTCATAAAAAACCTCAGCTGTCTCTCAACAGCTGTCAGGATGATGGGGGGGAGAGAGAAGAGGATCCCGGCAAGGGGTGTAGCCAGGACTGGGACACTCTGGGGCAAGCAGGGGATGGGGAAGGAAATACAGAGTGACAGAGGATGGTGAGGGGATGGGGGTTGGTGCACAGGAACCAGAGCAGCAGGGGCCATCACTAGAGCCAGAGGAGCCGCTGCCCCAAGAATAGCCCCTTTGAGGCTTAGGGAGCAGCTTGAGGGGCAATCTAGGAGGCTGACGCAGGCAAGGGCCCACAACCCAGCTCCCTAGCTGGCCAGGTGGGCTGGCTAGCTCTGGGAAGAGGGGTTTGATTCCTCAGCTGGAGCAGAACTGGAACAGGTGAGAGTCACTTGCCTCATCAAGCTCAGCTGCTGCAATCAGCAAAGTACAAAAGGAAAGCAGAGCTGAGGGGCTGTGTCTGCTTTCCATGTTGATGGGCCTTGGCTTGGATGCTCCTGGACTTGGGAGCAAAACTAGGCTTTATTTCATCTGGGTCAAAGACCCAGTTTGGCACCCCCTGCACGCATTACCATATACACAGGCTGTGAACCGCAACGGCGCCTCTCTGTAGGCTTCACCTGGGGCAAATAAAAAGTGGCTATGCCCCCCCCCCGGCTCTGCTAGACCTCTATGGGACTCTGCTTTGGTTTTGATTTTGGACTATGCTCTGACTCCTGGACTTCAGGCTTGGCTGCTTGGATTGGCCCTGGACCGCATTTCCTGACTTTTGGACTTCAGACTTCGTTTGAGTGGATTGACCCCTGGACTTGGACTTTGGACATGACATACTGACGTGCTGCCAGGTAGGCCAGGGGTTCAGGACACCAGAAAACGATACAAATAAAAGTAAAGAAAGATTGCAACCAGGAAGGCTTTATTTCCAAATAGGAACCACAGAGTTAACTTTTAGAGGAGGAGCCATTTGCCTCCTGGTGGACTGTGGGGAAAAGAAGCCCCCTGGTGATTAAGATGGCTGCTGGAAGTAGTTTTCAGTTGGGATGCAGCATATGGAATTCCCTCCCCAGGAAGACTTGCCAGGCACCAAACATCCCTTTTTACACCAGGTAAAGTCCTCCCCCCCTTCTAGCATGTTATCTAATTGTTTGTCAAGCTTCATATAGTTAATGTGGGCTCCACCACCCTGGCTGGGTCTACTAATGCTTGTCCTGCCCTGGGCTTCAGATACAGCGGCCCTCAGGGCATTGTGGGAAATATATAAGGCCTGTCAAGTGTTGCTGCTTCTGTCACCTGTAAAAGCCCACACTTGGGGCCACACCAGTGTAGGAGGGGACTCATCAGGGTGAAGTTTTGCCAAAGCCCCTTCAGCTGTACTCTAGGGACAATATTTTTACTTACTTCACCAATTTTTCAGGCGCAATGTTCTGCTGTATTGGAAGCGGCACTGACAGATGATAAGCAGGTGTAAGGCACCTTCATCCCCTGCCACACCCTAAGGCACCCATTCTTGCCATAGCTGTCAACGTTTTCCTTTTTTTAAGGGAAATTCCCTTATTCTGAATAGGATTCCTCACAAGAAAAGGGAAAAGTTGACAGCTATGATTCTTACCTTTTGCATTGCCACAGTGAATTGGTATGGCACAACATGCAGGTGCAATAGTGGTGAAACATCAGCGTGAATCCACTCCTGTGACAAATCTTTTGGTTTCACACAGAGAGAGGAATTTAGGAGTGATCTTATCCTTGCCCAACAGGCATTCCTTGATAGAATTACAACTGTAATCCATAGCATTTTCTTTCTTAATGCATTATTCCTTATTACCAGTGTGCAGCACATTTTTATGGGCCTTATGCACTGTATTTATTTAACATATTTATAGGCTGCTTTTCTAGGTCAAACCCCCTCGTGGTGGTTTCCAGTATACAAATCGTTATAAAAAGCAACAACAATAACATAATGTTATGCCACCCCCAATCTCTGCCATGTAGTAGCAAAATTCATGTGGGGTTCCAGGCGTTTACCCAAGGTTGTTTCTGTTGGAAAATTCAGGCACAGCAGAGACTGTAGTGTCTTTACACCTAAGCATTGACGGAAGGTGTGCAGAGCATTACACCCCAAGAGTGTCCCATGCTGCTTCTCCCATTGTTTCAGCCAGCTTGGGTCCAAAGAAGAAGCTAGCCATGCTCCCTGGGTACAGTCTCTCCCAGACAGCCTGCATGGAGTTCTGCTGCCACCTTCCTTCTCAATCTTTCTAAAAACCTCCTGCAAAAGGACACTTTTTTACTGTAGTGACATCACAGTCCCTGTAGCCCTGGCAATCTCCCCCTCCCAACTCTTTTGTCTCTGCCCACTATTCATGGGGGGAGGGGAGGACAGTATATGCATTGTCAATCACTCTTAATGGCTCAGTAGTCTGCTTTCTTTGGCTGATAGAGGTGCCATTAAGAAACAAACTCCTGAACAGGAAAACCTGTGTCGTCTGTATTTTTACACTGCTAATTTCAGAGCCTGTTAGCTTGCCTTAGTTTTCTAAACACTGATTAAAGCTCAACACCCAGGAATGTAGGGAGAGGCAGGGCACCCAGAAACCCAGGGGAATCAGGGCACCCACAAATCAGTAATGATACCAACAAGTTGGCACTAACAATAAAATATTAAGCCCAGCATAGTAGCACTACCATCTGACCAAATTGTTTATTCTACTTAAGTATTTTTTATTTTTTTTATTTTATATACTTACAGTGTCTACTGATTTCCTCCTCCCTTGGGCCTTTTCCAGTTTTTCAGAGTGGCCTTTAATATATTTGTAATTTGTATACAGCTTTATATTTTGTTGTTGTTATTGTTTAGTCGTTTAGTCGTGTCTGACTCTTCGTGACCCCATGGACCAGGGCACGCCAGGCACTCCTGTCTTCTACTGCCTCCCGCAGTTTGGTCAGGCTCATGTTTGTAGCTTCGAGAACACTGTCCAACTATCTCGTCCTCTGTCGTCCCCTTCTCCTTGTGCCCTCCATCTTTCCCAACATCAGGGTCTTTTCCAGGGAGTCTTCTCTTCTCATGAGGTGGCCAAAGTATTGGAGCCTCAACTTCACGATCTGTCCTTCCAGTGAGCACTCAGGGCTGATTTCCTTAAGAATGGATACATTTGATCTTCTTGCAGTCCATGGGACTGTCAAGAGTCTCCTCCAGCACCATAATTCAAAAGCATCAATTCTTCGGCGATCAGCCTTCTTGATGGTCCAGCTCTCACTTCCATACATCACTACTGGGGAAACCATGGCTTTAACTATACAGACCTTTCTTTATATTTTATACAATGCTAAATGATACTGCTTGGAAACCACATTTGTGCTGTCTTGGGTTCCATGATGTAAGAAAGGTGGGCTATAAATGTAGCAATAAATTTGCAAATGTATGCAAAATCTGATGAAAAGGTAGTGGTGTGTATGAAGGAGTATAACACTAAAGCAGATTGGGGTTTTTTCAGAGTGTAAGATGCCCAGGAATGGGGAGGGGGATTCAGACAAAATGAAACAAAGGTGTAATGAGATCTCACTTGGGTCGTTTCCAGATGATTTGTTTATTGAGCATTCATCCTGATTTGTTTGCACAAAGCTTGTAGGGAGGTTATACAGTGTCTGCTGTTTATTGAGTATTAATTCTGGGGGTTTTTTTCGGGGGGCGTGGCCTGTTGGAAGCCATATAAAAAAATGTTATCCCACACGTTCTAGTACATTTTTGCATAATTTTCCTTACCACAAAGGGACTGTTTTTCTCAAAGTGAGCTTGTTATACAAGAGCACCAAATTCACTTTAATTGTGCAACCTGAATTTGCCAGTATGCAACTGAATCCATCCCACAAAATAGTGACAGCCTAGAAGAATTTTGGTGAAAATGTGTGAGTAGACCAATATGTAACCAGTTGTTTTTAAAGCAAAGGATATTGTGACAAATATGAGAATATCAGAACAATGCTCAAGATGGGAGCTGTCTGGGAGGTGTCAATGTATTTACACATGATTACATGTCTGTCCAGCTCTTCCTCCATGGAGATTAAGGCAGCATATTTTTTCCACTCCATAGTAGCCTCACAACAACCCTGAGAGGTAGATTACACTGAAAGCGTGTGAGCAGCCCTATATCACTCAATGAGCTTCATAGCTGTTGCGATTTGAAGCTGGGTCTCTCCAGTTCACATCCACCACACTAAGCTGATTCTCCAGATGCCTGTTCCTTGATCCCTATTTTTTGACATATACCTGCATTTGCAAAACAAGGTGGAATATGGAATTAATTATGGGCTGCATAAGCTACTACTAGAAGATATTCTTGGAAGAAACAGGCAAAAATTATTCAACTCATCCCAGGCTTCCCAATATATTCTCCAATGTTTTTTAAAAACATTATTCCATCTCTTTCTCTTTCCTCCCAGCATAATTTGAATAGTGCTGAATCAGCACATCTAGTTCTCAAAGAAAGTCTTGTGCGATTCAGCCTACATTTGCAGTGTTGGGACTTGCCCTGGGAAAGCAAATTCTCATTTGTTTAAATGCAGCAAGGTTGTATTGTATGGCTTGGGGTGATTCTGGACTGAGTAAATGAAACTAACACACAACACAAACATACATACATACAGTCCATTTGGCTGTCACCTTGAAGGCAATGCATACTTTTTGCAAAACACTGAAGTGTAATTATTGGCTTTCCTTCTGTTTCACCAGTCCTTTCCTGTTGCTACCTTTAGATGCCCTTGGGAGATGGTGCTAATGAGATGACCTGCTGCCACCAATATCTGTCTCTTTAGGATTATGAAATTGAGTTGTTCAAGTGGATAAAGTCCAGAATTAGAAACTGTACGTCACCTGCATATTATAGCTACGTGCTTCATTTAGATTTGGCTGGTGACACACCTGTTTTGCATAAACATATTTTCGCATTGCTCCTCCTTAGAAAGGAATCTCTTTCTGTTAATGATGTTTTTCCAGTAATGCAAGAAGTGACCTATCAATCTTCTCCGTCTCTCCAATAAGAATGTATTAAGGAAGCAATTATCCTGTATTTGGATAAGAATTATTTTCCTCCCTTCCTTCTACAGCCTGCCTCCTTATGCTGGTTTGATTCCAGAAAATAAAAAGGGAGACCATAGTCTTATCTGGGGACCAAATTCTGCAGGTGAAGCATGTAAATCACAGTCCCATTCCTTCCTGCTGAAGAGTTTTCTAACACTCAAAAGTCTTCACACACCAACAGAAGGTGTTAAAATGCCTTCATTTCCTTTGAGACTGGCCCAAGGCAGAGAATGCATTTATGTCTCCGGACACTTCTGTTTCATTTGGATGAGCGTTGATTAGAACTTTTTTTAATGAATTAAGTGCAATAAGTAGAATGACCCTTTACAATGTCTTCCTCTTCTTTGTGCATGCTGTCAGTCTGGTAAAGCCACTAGTGTACTCTACAAAAGGAGTACTTCTGTAGAATAAAAGATGTGGGCATGTGATCAAATCAAGTCTGCATTCCTGTACATTTATGAAAAAGGTTATGTGGATGTACATGTACAGTCTTATAAGGCAGCCCATCCTTTGTCCAGGCGTTGCTCTTGGAACAGTCTTCCTAACTGCAATCTGTTAAGAGGTGATACCAATATCTTCCTCCCCTCAGCAGATTCAACTACTGGAACCTAACTCTAGTTGTTTTTTAAATAAAGGGTTTATTATTCTTATTAATATAATTTATTTTTTATACCCTGCCCATCTGGCTGGGTTTCCCCAGCCACTCTGGGCAGCTCCCAACAGAATATTAAAAGCACAACAAAAGATCAAACATTAAAAACTTCCCTAAACAGGGCTGCCTTCAGATGCTTTCTAAAAGTCAGATAGTTGTTTGTTTCCTTGACATCTGATAGGAGGGCATTCCACAGGGCCAGTGCCACTACTGAGAAGGCCCTCTCAACAAATTGATAAAACAAAAAGTACAAATAAAGCAGCGGAACCCAACCATAGTTGATTCTGTTTGGTAGGAGGAAAAAGTAACAAATAAGGAGGCTGGTTGGTTCTCTAGATGCACTGCTACAGGGCTTCCCACAGCATTATATCGTCAGTGTGGAG